ACAATAAGACAAATACGATAGAGATACAAATTAAACTCATTTTTCAGATACAGTAGGTTTACTTAACATATTTATTTAACATCTTTTGTTGGTTAACATTAATGACACGGACAGGTACTTAATTAGGAATGCTGTCCCTTTAAGACTGAAGGCATGCATGTAATACTGACACACGTTCAGTTTTCACCCACCTGTTTACGTTCACTTAATCCATAACCGACTGTATTTACGTGAGATACTCTACACGATAGACATTTGGACTGCTGTGTGTGTATTTGAGCACTGAGAACTGATCGCGCGCTGTATATGAGAACTGAAGAAGTGGAGCGTGCGCGAGAGAGAACACTTCTATCAGCGCGATTCCGCCTATCCCCCCTTCACTAACTTTAAGTTAATCGACAACGAATTGTGACTTCCGGGAAAAACGGGACGTCTGGTCACCTTATCCCTACCCCTTCGGTGCTGAGGCCATTGTTTCAGATCGCTAGTGTGCGTTTTGGTAGCCTATCTATCTACTGCGGCTACCATACTGAGACTATATATGCAAACGCCCCTTATCCGACTGCAATCCAATGACAGGGACGCACATTTTGAAGGACAAGACAGTAGCCTATAGGATGTATTTTGAATGTCCGGTAGTCCGCAAATAACATTATAGTCCCGTCGGCTGCCATACTGAGACTATATATGCAAACGCCCCTTATCCGACTGCAATCCAATGACAGGGACGCACATTTTGAAGGACAAGACAGTAACCTATAGGATGTATTTTGAATGTCCGGTAGTCCTCAAATAACATTATAGTCCCGTCTCGTCTTCTTAACGAAGACGCGGCATAAATTTCGTCATAGTTTTTATCATCAGATATTCGTTTTAGCTCGTCAACGTCTCATCTTAGTCAAAGAAAAAAGGTTTGTTAATGAATATTTTTCATCGTCGTCTTCGTTGACGAAATTAACACTGCTGGGGTTAAGACTAAACACCAAGAAAAGTGTGCTTTCTCCATTACAGAGGACCACTTATCTGGGCGTGGTGTGGGATTCGACCACGATGCAGGCACGTTTGTCTCCTGCTCAGATTAAGTCGATCCTCATGGCAGTCTCGAGAGTGAGAGAAGACCGGTCACTCACTATCAAGCAGTTTCAGAGACTGCTGGGTCTGATGGCAGCTGCGTCCAACGTGATACCTTTTGGCCTGCTGTACATGAGAACCCTACAGTGGTGGCTCAAGACCAACGCGGCGATGCCTACGTGCCTTAGACATGTGGCGGAAACCTTGGTTCTTGTCTCAGGGCCTGGTGCTGGGAGCTCCTTGTCGCTGTGTAATGCTAGCGACGGATGCGTCCCTCATCGGTTTGGGCGGTCTGTGGAGCGGTCGCCATCTGACGTGGCACATCAACTGCCTGGAGATGCTGGCCATGTTTCTAGCATTGAAACACTTCCTCCCGGACCTAAGAGATCGCCATGTGTTGGTGCGCACCGACAACACAGCAGTGGTCTCTTACATCAACCACCAGGGAGGTCTGCGTTCGTGCCCCCTTTACAGGCTGGAGCACCAGATCCTTGTGTGGTCCCAGGAGAAACTCCTCTCGCTGAGAGTAGCTCATATTCCTGGGCATCTCAATATGGGAGCAGACATCCTGTCGAGGCAGGGGCCGAGGCCCGGGGAATGGAGGCTTCACCCCGAGGTGGTGAAGCAGATATAGAGAGTTTTTGGCCAGGCTCAGGTGGACCTGTTTGCGACTCTCTGGTTCTCTCTGGTTCTCTCTGACTCATCCTGCTCCTCTCGGACTGGATGCCATGGTACAGACGTGGCCGAGGCTTCGTCTGTACGCCTTTCCTATTTATTTTCTATTTCTATATTTTCTAACAATATAAGTCTTTATTATCACTTTTTATCAATTTAACACATCCTTGCTGAATAAAAGCAAGAAAGAAAAAAAAATCTGCTGACCCCAAACTTTTGAACGGTAGTGTATAATGTTACAAAAGATTTATATTTTAAATAAATGTTGATAATAAATCAGCATATTAGAATGATTTCTGAAGGATCATGTGACACTGAAGACTGGAGTAATGATGCTGAAAATTCAGCTTTGATCACAGAAATAAATTATATTTTAAAGTATATTAAAATAAGAAAACATTATTTTAAATTGCAATAATATTTCACAATTTTACTGTTTTTTCTGTATTTCTGATCAAATAAATGCAGCCTTGATGAGCAGAAGAGACTTCATTAAAAAACATTACAAATCCTACAGACCCCAAACTTTTGAATTGCAGTGTATATTTACATGAGTGTGTGTGTGTGTGTGTGTGTGTGTGTGTGTGTGTGTGCAGGGCTCCAAACGAGTGCTGCGCTCTAACGAGTACGTCCTTCCTCCCAGCGGCCTGATGGAGACGGAGCTGGAGCTCACCTTCTCTCTGCAGGTACGGCGTGACGAACCAACTCCAGTCAAAATGACTCCCTGACTCTCTTGATTCAGTGAATGATTCATCAGTGACGTTATTCTGCAGCAAAACCCACAGATTCCCCCATTAATGATCAGCCGGTCATCATTTACTTTCCCACGTCATTCACACTCAAAACAAAAGAAGATGTGGTTTTGGTCCATTTAATGAAAGTCAGTGGGGTCCAATGTTGTTTGCTTCTAAACGTTCTTCAAAATATCTTCTTTTCCAGAAGAAAGAAAGTGTTTGTGCGAGTAGCAGCGATGCAGCCGTAATGTCTGATGTTCCTCTGACGTGTTTCTGTCCTGTCGTGTCGTGACAGTATCCTCACTTCCTGAAGAGAGACGCCAACCGCTTGCAGATAATGCTGCAGAGAAGAAAACGCTACAAAAACAGAACCATTCTGGGCTACAAGACGCTCGCGCTCGGAGTCATTAACATGGCCGAGGTAAAAGCTGTTAAACCCCGTTCACACCAAAAACAATAATCATAACAACAACTATATTAGCGATCACACCAGAGGACGATAATATTCTGTTGATTAAAAGCATGCTGCAGTTTGTGGTCTGCCGCTTTAAATACTTGAGCTCAGAGGTCAGATGGGTTGTGATTGTCTGTCAGTGTTTTTATCGTATGAAATGGAGAGCTTCAGTCTGTCTGCGCTGCTGTCTGGAGGCTCACACTTTCACTGCAATGGGGACCAACGGCTAGAAAAGAGCCTTATTCCTCGGCTGGGATCCTGTAGAGCTCTTTGAAGCTGCTCTGAAACTGTGCTTTGACCTTCAGTCCGTTGGTCCCCATTGAAGTCCATTATATGGAGAAAAACCCTGGAATGTCTTCCTCAAAAACCTTCATTTCTTTGCGACTGAAGACAGAAAGACATGAGCATCTCGGGTGACATGAGGGAGAGTAAATGATCAGGACATTTTTATTCTGGAAGTGAACTAATCCTTTAATTTGATGTAGTTATATTATTTTCTGTAATATGGTAATGCAGTTTTCTCTATATTTTTGTGAAAATATAATATTGTTCAGTTTTTAGATAAAAAGGTTTTCTGGCTCTTCCAGCATTGGATATGAATTGTATTTTCTATATATTTTGAAATGGTGCAATAAACCAAATCAGATCGAATGAATGGAGCTGACATGAGTTTGGGATGTTGGTTGTTCAGTGACTGACAGCAGGTGTTTGATCAGGTGTTGCAGCATCCTACAGACGGAGGCCAAATTCTGGGTCTCCATAGCAACATGAAGGACGCGCCGACACGCGTGGCTGAGATTAGCGTGTTCTCACTCTCCAGTCAACCCATCGACCACGAGTACGGCAACGGCCAGACGGGAGCCAAGACCAAAGCCTCGGGTACAGATACACACACACACACACACACTCACACTCTCTCACACACACACACACACACAGGTTTGTTTTTGTGAAAAGTGGGGACACACACACACACACACTCACACACACACTCGCACACGCACACACACACTGACTGCGATGTGCTGATCTGACACTCTATTAATATCACACGACGTCAGACGTCCGGATCAGAACACCGTGTTCATCGTTCATGTCTGGTGCGCACTGAGGGTCGAGTTACAGGTGTGTGACCTTTGACCTGTGTGTGTTTCTCAGATCGTTCTCCTGACATGGATAATTACTCAGAGGATGATGATGACAGTTATTCATCAGGGCAGGAGGGCAGTGATGATGCTGGACACGCACAGGTGAGACGGACTAAAGACTGATTTACGTTGATTCATAAAATAAAACAAACATATGCAACACACAATATATGCTTACATGCCATTAACACAACCTACACTTTCTTATTTACATTCCCTTGCATAATTGTATCTGATGGATTATTCTGTACATAAAAAAAAACAAGTTGGATTTGTAGTGTGTGTGTGTAATCATGCTTCTCAATAAATCTCATTCTGATTCTGATTTCCACTTTCTGTGTTGTAGGATTTGTATGATGAAGATGACGACATACGAAAGCCAAAAAAACCCAGACGGAAAATGATTAGATCTGTCTCATTGACACGAGTGAGGAGCACTGTCTTTCTGCCTGTCCGTCTGTCTGTCTGTCCGACTTTTCTGTCTCTCTGTCTGTCTTTCTGTCTCTCTTTCTGTCTGTCTCTCTGTCTTTCCGTCTGTCTGTCTGTCTGTCTGTCTTTCTGTTTGTCGCTCTGTCTGTCCATCTGTCTGTCCAACTTGTCTGTCTGTCTGTCGCTCTGTCTGTCTGTCTGTCTGTCGCTCTGTCTGTCTGTCTGTCTGTCGCTCTGTCTGTCTGTCTGTCTGTCGCTCTGTCTGTCTGTCTGTCTGTCGCTCTGTCTGTCTGTCTGTCTGTCGCTCTGTCTGTCTGTCTGTCTGTCGCTCTGTCTGTCTGTCTGTCTGTCGCTCTGTCTGTCTGTCTGTCTGTCGCTCTGTCTGTCTGTCTGTCTGTCCGACTTGTCTGTCTGTCTTTTTGTCTGTCGCTCTGTCTGTCCATCTGTCTGTCTGTCGCTCTGTCAGTCTGTCTGACTTGTCTGTCTGTTTTTCTGTCTGTCTGTCTGACTTGTCTGTCTCTCTGTCTGTCTGTCTGTCCGTCCGTCCGTCCGTCCGTCCGTCCGTCTGTCTGTCTGTCTGACTTGTCTATCTGTCTCTCTGTCTGTCTGTCTTTCTGTCTGCCGCTCTGTCTGTCGGACTTGTCTGTCTCTCTGTCTGTTTGTCTGTCTCTCTGTCTGTCCGTCTGTCTCTCTGTCTCTCTGTCTGTCCGTCTGTCTGTCCAACTTGTCTGTCTGTCTGTCTGTCTGTCGCTCTGTCTGTCTGACTTGTCTGTCGCTCTGTCTGTCCATCTGTCTGTCCAACTTGTCTGTCTGTCTGTCTGTCGCTCTGTCTGTCTGTCTGTCTGTCTGACTTGTCTGTCGCTCTGTCTGTCCATCTGTCTGTCCGACTTGTCTGTCTCAAATTCAAATTCAAATTAGCTTTATTGGCATGACTTGCACAGTATTGCCAAAGCATTGTCCATTACATAAATAAAAAAATAACGATTATATAATACATAAACAAAACAAGAATGGATCTGTAAAATAATTAACTAAATAAGTACATGTATACTTTCTTTTTTTCCACAAACAAGAAAAATAGTTAAGACATTGTTTAAAAAAGAAAAAAAAATGGCACAACAGTACAATATGTAAGAAATGCTCTTGCTTCAGTTTTGTCCACTGGCTGACAGTCTTAGTTTGTGACAGGCTGATACATA